TGCCCGGCTCGGGGCCGCCCCGCGGGGCTCCCGCTATCACCGGCGGCCGCAGCCGAACGTGTTGCATAATTATTAGCTATTAACTGAGTTCAAGACCTTTTACGGCTGAAGGAAATGAGGAGCCCGACCACTAATCCCGCGCAGGGGCCGCGCGCAGCCCGAGCCAGGGAAAGCGTCAGGGCCGTCAACGAAAACGGTTCATTAGGTGACACGACGGCGAGTCGCGGCGGCCCCTGCGCCCCGGCCCCTCCGCGGCCCCGCTGCCCGCGCCCCGGCTCCCCACAGCCCGCCCCGAAATGTTCATTTTGTTCATTTATTTTCACGAAGCGCAGCTCACGTGTCTGCAAGAGATCATGAAAATAAAACACCATAGAGCCTTTTCCCCTTCGCTGTTTAGAATTGCTTTTCTAGAGGAGCTTTCCCAGCGCAGCAATGCCCAAGTCCTAATCAACAACTATTTTTTCCTTTTTCTTTTTTTCCCCCGGCAAACAGGAAAAATAATTACAATTTTTTTTTCTTCTCCCAAAGCTCCTTTTCGTTTAAACTCAGCCGTGCCCGTCACAAATATTCGCAGGTAGATTTGAGGAAAAAAAACTATTTTTGAACGATAAATCCGAGCCGTTCGTGTGCAGGGGGAAAACGGGTCGAAGCCCCGAGAGCTGCCGCGCACGGGATCCCGAGGCCACAAAGGTGGCCGAAAAAGTCGCTCCTTCCACCTCAGTTTTTCTCCCCCTCCTCCCCCCTTTTTGTTATTATTGGAGTTTTTTTTAGACGTAGGAGATCTAGRAGCTGAGGATGTGAAACTCCTTTGGGGAGAGGCGATAAAGCGCGGGGAGCCGGTGCCAGCCCGCCCCCGATCAACCACTTAAAAAAAAAAGAAAAAAGTGCATAGTGGGAACAAACAGGGACCTGACGGGACGCGGACGCGTTTTATTAAGAAAAAGCATCTCTAACGCCATCTCCCACCCACCCAAAAAGAATAAGAAAAAAAAGAGAGAAAAGAGAAAAAAACGAGTGAAAGGGGAAARGCGGCGGCGGGCGGCGCCGCTCGGGAGCGCCCGGCCCCGCGCGCGCGGGGGACACGCGGGGCTCCCCCCGCGGCCGCTTTGCGCCCGCTGCCCCCAGCGGGAGGGCGGCTCAAGGAGCCCCCGGGCCGGGGCCGCCCGCGGCCGAGCGCTGAACGCACTGCGCCGTGACCGGCGCTGCCTCCCCTTCCCAACTCCCGGAAAAGCCATCCGCACAAATATATATATATGTATTTAACCGCAGGGGAAGCAGAGGTTCCTTTAGATTTAAAAAGGAATGAAGCTCGCTCCAGAAAGCGGCCACGAAAACGCAGAGGGAACTTCGTCTCTTTCCACGCGCGGCAGGTTGTGCCGGGCAGAGGGAGCCCCCTCCTCCCGCGGCGCTCCTGGCTCCAACGGGCCGGGCCGGGGGCGCCGTGTCCCGTCGCCCGGCTCCTCTGCAGCCCCCGGGGCCGCSCTCCCGCCGGCAGCGCCCGCTTCCCGGCGCAGGGACGAGCTGCGGGTGCTTCCGCGGCAGCCGCCCGCGCCCTCCGCAACGCCAGGTTTCAGACCGCAAATCGTGCACAAACCCCCCCGAGCCCCCGCAGACCCCGCGAAGCGGTCTGTGGGATCCCCGCAGACGCCGTCCCCACAGCAGCACCGCGAGTCACAACTAATTATCAACAGCAAAAATAATCAAGCTCCGTTTTAAAACTAGTTAGAAAAATGAAATGCAAATCTGCGCATGAACATCCAAGGGCTTCCCCGAACGTAAATGCCCCTCTCCCTGGGGCGGTGGTTTCCACAGGCACAGCCCAGCTCTCCTGCACCTACAAGAGCACCATTTAAACCACTATCCCACCTGGCCACCTTCCCTGCCCGCTGTGCCTTGCATCCCGAGTTTATTCCTTGTGTTAGAGGGGAAGACTTGTGTTACAGGGGAAAATGCAGGACCCTTGGGGCAAGAASAGTGCGTTTTGGGAACCCTGGTCACCCTCACCCCGCCTCTCGGAAGAGCCTCATTCGCACCCTGTGTGGTGAAAGGGCTCTCACAATCAGCAGAGCATTGAAAATAATTAATTGGACACTTATCAAATAAAAGCTTTGCTGGATCATAGTGTTTACTCAGGACCAGGAAAACAGCCTTCCCGGAGGGATGCAGTAGGGAGGAAGCCTCTCTGTCTCACGGGTTGCCCAGCCAGGGCATGAGGATGAACCGGCTCCCAACCCGCCCGGAGCCGCCTGCGGGCAGCGGAGCTCAGTGCAGCGGCAGCCAAAGCCCCTGCGGGGCCCGGGCGCTCCCGACAGACACTCTGAAGAGCTGGAGCGCCCCACGGGGATGACGGCCCCTCTGTGACAAYCCTCTGAGACCATACAAACCCCATCCCAAGTTCGTTTTCAAATGGCACTTTTTCAGAATTATGTGCAGCTTTCCAGAACTGAGCCTCTGCAGAAAACCCTTGCACAGCAGCAGCATCCATGTTTTGCAATCAGATCAAGAAAGATGTTTTCCAACTCTTTCTGCAGTCTCTTAACAGTACCAATATTGTTCTCGATCTACTCAGGACCTTTCTTATCTTCCCTCCAGACTCTTGGTACCTCAAACCAGATGTACTGTGAACTGCTCAACTACCATTCAGCTGCAGTTTTGCTCCTTTAGTACAAATGAGATAGGGAAACAGCTTCATTTCTCTGAAATATAAAGTTAAATAGAGTGAACTGAGAAGTTTCTTTAAAAATAATGGAGTGAGATCACCCATACAGTGATTTTAAATGGCTTAAATAAGAGTGGCACTTGCCTATAGCAAGTGCATCCCGAAGAGCAGGAGGCTCCTCCACATCAGCCGCGTGGGTACATTACGAGAGGGACAGTAGTCATTCATATGGGGAACATATTTTCTATACAATTATTATTAACAGCTTTTTAACTCTCCTCTTAAACACAGAATGTGAATCAATTTAAAAATCACAAAAGAGCTTGACATTTTCAAGGGAATTTAAGTATTAATCATTTTGTCACAGAGCTCAGCCGAATGAGCCATTCGGGCAGTGATTACTCGCCAGTATATTGGCTACTAAACTCAGGCTGTCTGGGCACAGTTAGGGTATAAGGAAGGACCCAACTAGTAAAACTCAGCTGTGTCACAACAGGGACAAGTGACCAGTGTCTCCTATTATTTTTGGGGGAAATAATTAAGCACCGCTGCTCCGATGGAGGCTTCGTGCAACACCAAGCTCAGCCCTCATGCACCACGATCACCACAGCTTCACCTCACCCTCTCATTTTTACAGCTGGTCCTGTTTATCACAGCCTCACTTCCACTCAAAAGGGAAAACTATCACTTTAAACAAAACCATTCAAAACTCTCTTAATACAAATAAATCACAGAAAAAAGATTTATGTTCAGTGATGTCATTCACCCAGGTACTGCTGATTTTCCAAGCAAACCACCATTTAGTATTTTCCCCTATTAAATAGGCATGAACTAATGCTAAGCTTATTTTATCACCATGCAAGTTATTGGAAATTCACATTTCTGACTATTTCACCCCGCAGCCATTTTGCTTTCCATACAAGCACCTATCTCCCATGACACCCATATGTGTCACGCGCATGGTCAGGATGCAGCACAACTCATTACCCAGACTAGGGAGCTGCCACAAACCCACAGAGCAAGGGAGGATCTGCTCAAGAATAAACCGAACCCAGAGCGGAACTCGTCATGCAACAGTGAAATCACAACTTGCAAAACTGCCTGTTCCATCARCAAAACCAACATCTTTGTCACTCAAGGGTCTGTGCCTTAGTAAAGGGATAGCAACAGCAAAGTCATTTGGTACTGGAAGGATGAGAAAAAATGCTGAGCATGTTTTTTATGGGAGAAAGATATAGAGTTAGACTGAAATCTGAAAATCTCTCATGCCCTGAGATCCATAAATAGAACCAGCTAGGATTTTGTCTTGTACTAAATTTAAAGGAAAGTCTTTGCCATACAGATTCTTTTTTTTTTTTTTTTTTTAAACAGATGGTACCCCAGAAGGAATTCAACTGTGGTGTTTCCAACAAGCAGCATGAATGAATTAATAAATGCAGTTAATCTTTCTTTAGTATCAGCACACACATTTGCAGCCTGAATACAAATTCCTGAGACTTCTCCCCTGGATTACCTCAGTTTCCCTTTAGCTTGTACTCCTGCCCCACAAARTGCAATTTTACCTCTAACTGATAAAAAGCTTCAGAGTTAGCCCCAATGGCCAGAAATCCCAAATTTGGTCTCACACAGTGTCAAAACATCCATAGAACCATTATGGTGGGAAAAGACCTTCAAGATCGAGACCATATTCATCTCTCCTGCATGTCACCCTGGGGCTGGAAAGAAAGCAAAGAGATACCGGGCTGTCCTGATCAACTCAAGCAAGTTCTATCTCAGTGTTCAGCAACTAGAGCTCAGCTGCTTAGCATCCCTCAACTTATCCCTTGGGAAAGGCACCTTAACATCTCTCACAATTAGTCAGTCCAGAAATCACAAAAAAATCTTGCTTTTCTAAAACAAAAATCCCAGCCACCCACAAGATCCTAAGAGAAACTAGAAGCATGGAAGTTTCCAAAGAGATTCCAAAGGTTCAGATACATACTGGAAAACATCTTCAGCAAGTGCCCCGGGCATGCACCAAATCCAACAGTTGTAGCAAGCTCCTGAGGTTCAGTAGCAACAAGAAAACCCGCTGTCTTTTTCAAGAGCAGTTGAYGCTTCAATTAAATGTGGCCCATACTGTTATTCACAGTTACTGGACATACATCACGATCTGCCCCACAACCAACAGCATCCCAATTGCATCATATTAAAGACACCATTGCATTAGTTCAAGTTTTCCAAATAGCTTTCTCTTTTAGCTCCCTAGTTTCACTTTTTCCACATTTCCTTTCATTTGCTCAACAAAAACATTTTATCTTTCAGACTTTCTAGAAAGGAAATAGATTTGTTTTTTACTTACCAGGTCCTCCTCTGCTGTTCTTGCCTTCCACTGCAGCATGATTCAATAGAGGGTTACCTGGTGCCCACACTGATAACATCAGAGGCCATAAAACCTGTAAAGAATATTACATTGTTAAGCCCAAGCACAGAGCATATTCCCTTGGAATGGAATGCATAGCTTGGACAGGGAATGGCTTCCCCCAAATCCCACTGGAGATTAATCTCTGTAGTAGTAGGGAAAGGACTCTAAAACTAGAAGAACAGTAGAGTTTTCCCTGTACTCACACACAAAAAAGTTAAACATCACTAAGCTCCCTGCCAGAACTGCAAATTTCCTGGCCTCTTGGGGTGCCACAAGTAGTATTTTTGGCATTGGCTTTACTGATACACACACAATAGAGACACATAAAAGACCATAAACCAGTTTGTATTTTAATGCTTCAAGTCCCCCCCTCTTCCACCACACAGCCACCAAACCACTACCCCCAAAGACGTGAAGAACATACAGACCTAGAGCAGGTCAGCAGAGGCCCCGGGGCTGCAGCCCAGCACAAACTCAACTGCAAACTCTCCCAACAACAGAATGACCCTTGAGTGCAGTGCCTCATGGTTGCTTATATGCAATTAGACAACGAGCCGCAGGTGGCGGCRCTCAGCGACCGGGAGCAGCTGGGCCCCGCTACCGGCCCTGGGCCTCGCTGGGCCGGGGCAGCGCTGCGAGCGCAGCAGCAAACACGTGGCYGCAGCACCTGTGGCTGGTGGACATGTTGACAGTTGAGGGAGACTGGACGAAACTGCCCCTGTAAGAGTGTTCTCCAGGCAGCAGCCTGACCTGCTAGGGCTGCGGAGCGTGGAGCTGGCGTGGGAAGAGCGGCAGCGCAGAGGGGCCGGGGCGGCAGCCGGGGCTGTCCTGGCAGCGCCATCACCCCGGCCCTGCCTGCCCTCCTCCCAGCTGCTCCTACAGCCCCTGGCTGCGCTCGGCTCCGTGGCCTCGGGAGTGCAGTGTCCAGCGCGGCAGAGGCTCCACACAAAAGGCCCGGCTGGAACCGCGAGCCGCGAGGAAACCCCGCGCGCCGGCACGGGCGCTGCCCCCTCTGACGCACTTTCCCTCTCCACCACCTTTCCTAATGAAATCTTTCCATGTTATTAAAGGCTAGGATGGATCTGCAGAGTGTTCCTTCCAGGATTTTCTTGTTTGCTGTAGTCTTCAAATTTTCCAGTTCATTTCCTATTTTCCTGCTCAAAGCCCCTTGCCAAAAAAATCCCTGAAGTACTCTTTGGTACTTGGACAGAAAATAAAAAAATAAGAAGAAAGTAGATACTTGATCCAGACCCTTGCAAATCAGTAGCAATTTTCCCACAAATACGAATCATTTTCAGCAGTGGAAGACAGTTCCTCAAGGTGCATTTTTATCTAATTAACCGCACAGATGCATTTTGGTCACTAAAATGTATAACACTGTGTCGTATGATTTACACAAAATTAATTGTCCAAGAGCATCCAGCCAAAATGTAAAGAATGGTCTTTCAATGTGCTATTTAATCAGGTTCCTTTAGGAATTAAATGATTAGGAATTAAATTAATGAAATGGATTTCTGCCTAGATTTTCTAAACAGTACTAGGTCTCATAGCCAAAGAAGAAACAGGTACCCAAAAAAAGTTCCTACTCATGGAGGGGAATATTAGAAACAAAAGTGGCGATGTAATCCCCCACGGAAAGAATTATTTTGGTTTCATGTAATCTCTCACCAGAAAAACTGGAAACATCCCAAACTCTGCTGATACTAGAGCTCTAGTGCAGGATGGTGCCAAYTGGAACAGGTTAGGAGCCTGGGAATTCCTCAGGACTTTCTTGGAGAAAAAGCATCTGAAGTGACTTCATGGATTATGGTTGGTTTTAATCCCTTTTGCGACTTCAGAGGGAAACTCCCTGCACTTTTAGTGGCTCATCCATGGACACTTCTCTGTGCTCCCCGGCRGCCTCGCAGGAGAGGCAAGGCTGGCACCTCGAGCAGTGAACCCGCTGGCTCTCCCACACCATCATCCTGGCCGTTCTTCTCCTCTGGATCCCTGTAAAGCGATTAAGATCTCACTTATTTCAGTATTCAGATTCAAAGTAAATGCACCAAATACAGTTGGTTTAAAACTGTGTGGCTACAACATTGGAGACATTGTCTTGAACATCTTACAAGTCCAAGATTTCTCTCTCTAGGGCCATGTGCTTCTAGGAAATATATATTACTTTGGCCAYGAGACAGGGCTTCAGAAAATACCATCAGGCCACCAGCAGAGCTTAATAGTTTTGCAGCGCTGTTCTGAGAAATACAGTTTTCTGTAGGAATTCAGAAATGACCGACAGAAACATCTTTGGCAGCGTATCCATTACCTTGTGCATTTGTCGGGGCAGCAAAGGGTCTGAAGAGCAGGATCTTCCCAACTGGGCTGCATTACGAGGACCCGGTGCCTCACCAGCGCTTCCTTGGCTGGCCTGCGGCTCCGACATTATCAGGGTTACATGTGATCCAAGACGCCCTGCAAACCACAGACAGAGCAATGCTTTTAACACCAGCAAACTCCTCTCTTTACTCTCAGAGAGGGAGATCCATTGCAAAACAGGCAGTGAATTCTGTGAGGCTGGAAGAATGCAGCACTGAGGGCTGGACAAAAGAAGACAGATGTTCTGAACGTCGGGATGCGGAGGCAGCGGTTTCCAGCGGTTCTAGCAGCACATCCTCTTGCTAGACACAGCCAGGAGGCAGGCAGTGCTGGGAGACACCACAAGTGTCCCCAGGAGGACTGTGGTGGCGGGATTGCAAACCTACAGCCGGGCCCAGGGCTTGCAAGGGACTCCACTGCTCCACTGGCTTTCTGCTGGGTTCAACGCTGCTCAGCACATTCCTCTTACAGGATCCTGAAAAAATACAAAGGAAGAAAGTGTGGCCAAGTGTTTGCAAGACCGGAAAAAGATTTTTCAGGAAGTCTTGCCGAGGAGGGAGATTTGTCAGCATGTTACTATTTGCCTCTGCAGAAACCGCAGACACAAAATACAAAGCACGGAGGAGATTCTTAGAGAATCAGAGCCCTTGGAGGAGCAGCTGAACACGGACACGCAAACCCGGGGCTCTGTCCTGCACCGACCACGTTGCTCCCTGTCCGCTCTGCTGCAGCTCACGCACCTGCTGGGAGCTCTCAGGGCAGAGAAATGGGGTCCAATCTTCATGTTCCTGCCAGAGCCCTCAGGAACCGCCAGGAATCGTCAGCTCTTCTTCCAGCTCCGTGCAGGAGTTTCCAGGGGTCTCCGCCTAGGATCTGGGCTGCTCTAGGTGGAACGACACGTTCTTTAYGTTCACCGTTAGTTTTATTTTTAGTATACAAAGTACAGAGGCACAATTCAAGAAGAAAAATGCTTTTTATCCAACGCCACTGGAAAATGTAATAGGCAAAGGAAAATCAAGATGATACCCCAAACCACTGAAAATACTTAATTCTTTCCATCCCCCTTCAGAAAGCCCAGTACTTGCCTCAAAGTCGCACCCATTACAAGTGTATTTGGAGCCTGCAAGGGCTGAGCACTTTCCCCCGCTCGTTTCCCCCCTCAAGCAGATAAATCACTAACATGACTGACAGCTGTCACATCACAGCATATTTCATTCCTTCCAAACTGTCACTTGCGGTTACAATTTTTCCAACACTAGGTTTTATGAAGGATTGTTTTCTGTTCATTTCATTTCCTTGTATATAAATACCAAGCTGTGGACACGGAACAAATCACCTTGGTGGGAATGGTCATTAAGGAGATGGGTAATACGCATGCTTATTGTCCCACATACTTTTCCAGTTAAAATATTTGGCCTGAAAATGTGGGAGGTAAAGAACTTATATTTTGAGGTCTTTATAAAACGTAGCTCACAGCCCTGATTTATGTTCCCTGGGACTTGTTCTATGTGAAACATTTAACTAGCTATACTTTAGATAAAAGAAACATCTRAAGCATTGGTTGTTTTGGAGTTTCTCATTCTCTTTTCCCATACATCTTGATAAAATTTCACTGCCAGGCGCAATGTTTTAAGTTCAGAACCTTTCCTCTAGTTCCTGAATTCTCTTTTCTTTAGCAATATTTATAGTATCATTTAATATTCTCCCCTGCTGCCGGGCTCTCAGGGCCAATGCAGCCCCTAGCACAGTGCAGCTATTGAAGTAAGGGATTAGAGTTGACTTCAGATTTTGCCACAGAGGATGCAGAGCAAAGTCCCTGAGGCAAGTGCAGGAATTTGCCATTTCTGTTGGTATCAATGCCAGAGGAGCACGGGGATGTAACCTGGGAAGAAGGCCTCAAGCACTGATGCTTCCAAATCACCTCCTGAAAAGCAGAGCCCCCAAACGCTCTGGAAGCTGCAAACAAGGACGGGAGGGAGACAGCAGCAGCTGCCCCTTGTCACCAGTCAGAGCCCAGTGACCAAGGCAGGCTGACCTCCCGTTAGTGAGTGTGGATGGAGACGCAGCAAACCTGAGTTCCTGGCTCTGCTGCATCCTCTCACAAACTGCACCAACCTCTGCTTTCCTCAGTGAAACAGAGAGGGGATCATTTCTTGCATTGTGCCTTTGCGTGGCAGCTCTGCAGGGTTCAACGCGGTGCAGGACGCAGACATTTCACCCGTTCCAGACGAGCCGCTCCGCCGCATGGAGCTGGTTCTTTCTTGGAGTAATCTGTCCGTTCAAGAACAGGGTATCCAGAGCACCATGCTAAAAGAGCATTCTTGTTTGTTCAGGCTGGTGTGTGCATCTGCCCAGCTGCATYTCAAAGCACAGAAGTACCTTTAGCACCAGGGACGGCCCTGCCATACGCACTGTTAGGCCTCAAACAGTCACAGCTTCTGCCAGCTATAGCTGTAGTCATAGATACACAGCCCTTTGAGAAATCAGGACCAATTTAGGTACCTAATACTGTGAGTGAATTGGTTTTGAATTAATCGAGTAAAACAAGGCAGTGGAAACCCACGTAACATGTTGGTCTGGAAGCTGCTGCAGCCCTGGGGACRGCATAACAATGCATATTTTATTTTGTGAAATTTTTATTAAGGGCTGTTTTTTATTTTTTATTATTGAATATGAATATTTTACACGTCTGAGTTCAGAACAATGCTTTTTTTGGCTGCCTCTGCACTTTTCATGGTTGTGTACCCTCGCATTGCATAACTAAGAGAGATCCATTTACACACCAGGGGAAAGGGGACTAATGAATCTCAGCGAAGCTAACTTTACTGTGTGTGAAAAAAGCACTCTGAAGTTTTCCAAATCAAAAAAAAATATATATATATATAGAATACTTGTATGGAAAGGCCTAATAAAGGCTGCACGTGTGTGTGTGCGCGGTGCCTGCGTGCGCGGGTGCAATGAGCGCAGAGCCCCTCGCAGCAAGAGGTAAATAACCCTCCCCACAGCAGCAGCCCCGCTGGGGAGCTCGGCAGCGTTCTTAACTCTTTCACTTCAGCAGCTCAAAGGCAGGTACTCACGTAGAAACGCAGCGAAATGGAAGCAGCTTTGACAGCGACTCAATAAATGTATTGTCGGAGCTGCCCATATTCAGCAGCAGGACCGGTATCTACCTGCCCTTGGTACCAACATTGCCCTTTCTGGACACTCCTCCATGGTGCTAGAGCTTTTTCCACCCCCGTTTTCATACCTGTTGATAGTGGGACTCTGCCCTAGCACTTAATTCTGGGGTTTACTGGCTGCAGGAGATCCCAGCTAGTCTTGCAGACAGCTGGTGCTGCCCAGGGTGGCATCGCTGAGCGTGTCTGGCAAGTGCCACGTCCCTACGGGCAGTGGTTACGTGTGTGAGCGGTGGCTGCCCGCAGCAGCTCGCCGTACTGCTTGGTCCTGCCCACGCACGGGCCAGAAACACCAGAGTTATCTGGAGAGCTCCAGTGTGCCTGGCCGGCTGCGCCCGGCTACCACGCTCACATGCTAGGACAGCGTGCGCTGCCCTTTGGGACCTTTGCAACTCCAGGTATCTCTGCACTATGCTCTAAGCAAAGTCGAAAGCAAAGGGCTCGCTTCCCTGCCCCTTCCACAGAGATATATCTCTGAAGCAGCTGCCATCAGCATCCTCCCGGTGAGCGGCTTGCAAAGCAGGGCTCAGCTCACCTTTTACAGCAGCGACTCGCAGTGCTCAACATGCATGAGGGCAGGAGACAAGGGATTCGAATAATAAAGATAATCGTTATTCGTCTCATGTGCATTTGAAKCCCGGCTTTTCCTTGTGCCTGATCCCACGGGCCGAGAGGAGAACGCGAGAGGCTCCTGTCTYGAGAGCTCACGGGCAGGGTGGCAGGGACGGCGGAGTTTGGGGCAACCAGCACATTGTCCTGGGCTGACACTACCGCATTCCAATAAAACCTTTCGATTCACAGCAAATGTAGAAAGTGCAAAATGATGAATTGTTTGACATTTAAGAGAAAATAAACAGCTGCTGCTGGACTGAAACTTAAATGAGACTTTGGGAGGGAGGGACAAATCGCCAGGAGCARGTTGAGATGTTTATGCAAACTTTTCAAGTGACTTTTGTTTGAGCCCCGGCTCCGTGCGTTGACGGCGGCTCCCGCTGTCCCACCACCTGGCTGCGACCTGCACGGAGCAAAGGCAGGCGGCTTCTGTGCAGGGCAACCCTCACCTGGGCCGCCCCAGGCTCCACTCCTCATTCCACAMGGCATCGCTGCTGCGTCTAGGCATCACCTCAGCCCTCTTCAGACCCTGCGACCACCCTCATACCCACCAGATTTGTTCCTTTCTTGAGGCCAGAGAGGCTAACAGCCTTCACCAGCAACGTCCTCCCTGTATCCAGAGGACAGGGAGAACACAGGAGGAAACGGATCAGAGGGAAYTCCTCCAGCACATGTCCTGTGCCACAAGCGCCGGGATGTGGGCCCAAATGATGAGGATCTCAGAGCTCTTCAAAGTACTAATGAAATATAAATATGTATTTGTGTGCACAGTGATTCTGAAGCAGGAGGGCATCGAGAGCCTGGCGAGGTCGAGAGGAAGTCACGCTCCTGTCGGAGATGCCGACTGACGCTATCTGGTTCTACGCCCTTGAGCAAAGTCGGGTCTCACAGGTGAAAGGAAACAGGCAGGCCAAGCCCCGTGTGGGAGGTACATGCCTCTAATAAAGGTTTGCTGAAACGATTTTTCTGCTGGGAGGAGTTGAACAAGGTTCCCTGAGGTAAAAGAGTTTTGGTATCAGTGAATTACTGGATTACGTCAGATGTATCTGGTTCTCAAAGGGTGAAATCTTATTAAAAGCACCCGCAGAGCCCTGCTAGGTGTCACTGCGAGCACGGCTCGTGTCTCTAGCCGTGTTTGCAGGGTTATCACACTTTTCATCTTCCTTTTCTCTTTCCTGACACCAACCCTGGGTTGCGCCACTCTCTCGGGCTCCCCTGCCTTCCAGCACACTGCTGTTTGCATTTTTATCTGCATTAGATTATTGGAGCAGGAGTCTAAACACTTAAGTTACTGCAAATCCCTCCTCATATGGAAGTCAGTGAGCTGTAAAATATTTAAACTGTCTACAGTTGTACCTCGTTTGTTTACACRTTTCCACTGGGCTGCTAAAAGGTAACTGTAACAGAAGAAGGACCCCAGACTGCGGATTCAGATTTGCCAGCAGCTCAGAGAGCGCTCGGGGCGCTTGCACGGACTGCACGGGGCAGCAGCCGCCTCGCGCGTCGCCCTGGGCCGAGCGGGGCAGCCGGGGGTTGGCTCCATCTCTCTGTTCTCTCACGCTGCTCGCAGGGGACACGAGGCCGCAGTCAGGCCCGGCTGCGCTGCTGCTGCCCGTGGCAGCGGCCGCAAGCGCTGCGCAYGCTGCAGGAAAGGCACAATGAGCAGGAACCGCTGCAGGGCAGCACTGCTGGACAGAGGGCACTGCTAGCGCTGCTGCTGCTGCCRCCCACCACAGGCACCGACCCCTTACACGGGCTGAGTGCAGGTAGATCCGTACAGATCCCCACGGTCGTCCGTATCCTGCCACCATCTACACCGCCAGCCCTTACAAATACGCGCTGTGCGGTGCCAGGCTCCCTGCCCAAAGCTCCCCGAGAGCCACGGGCTCAGCCCGTCACACACCCGGCTCTGGCTGCGCTGCCCACGCTGCAGCACAGGGCCGGGAACGCCTGGCCGCCCCGCACGTGTGTGCCAGCCCCTGTCCCCCGCGCCGCTCGCCACGACAGCCCTTCCCCTTTCCCTTCCCGTTCCCCTTGCCCTTTCCTTTCCCCTTCCCGTTCCCCTTGCCCTTTCCTCTCCTCTTCCTTCCGTCTCTGTGCAGCCCGGCGGCCGTGCCACACGGGAGCCCCAGGCTCCTGGGAGAGGCGCCCAGCATTCCCAAGGCAGCAGAGGGCATCCATGAGTTCGGAGACCCACCTCCAGTGTCGCGTGCAAGCGCCCGGGCGCTGCGATGAGGAGCTGGCAACACAYGGTTCAGCTCTTCCCTTCCCACTGCGCCGGAACAAACCTGCCAAGTTCTCGGTTCTGGGAAGTATCTTCAAATCTTTTCCAAATATTTTTGAACAACTTATACATCACGGTGCTAATTAGCTTCACAAATTGTGACAGTATGCCTTTGCCTGACTGGGTGCGGCGTGCACATCTGCACAAGTGTGCAAAGGTGATCCTGAAACCTGCAACAATTTCTAATTGTTCATTTTAGATGCTGATTTCGTTACTAAAAATCCACAACTTCGTCGTGAATTTCACAATTCAGTTCAGAAATCCATGACTTATCCACAGTATTTACTCTAGTTAAACTTAYTTGCTGGAGTTATTTATAAAATATAACACTGCTGATCTCCGTAAGGCAGATTTGTTCAGCAATTCACACAAATATTTGCAGGATTATTTTCTCTGTTTCCCTAACTCTCACTGATGAGGTCACAAAAGAGCAATTTTGCCTGATACATCCAGGTCTTCCCAAAAGAAAATCAGCGACAGCCAGGGACAGCTGCCTTGCCCCTCTCCTAGGTGCGTGACATCACAAAACTTCTTCATGGTTCTCCTAGAATAAAACCAAAATAAGCATCTTTTCACCCACGTTCTCTGATTGTTTTACGCAATTAAGCTCGCATTAAGCTATCCCGGTGGAGCCGCATGTAGGTTTTATGCTCGAGTCTCAGCCCGGCGGCCGGACAGACCACGGCACCGCTGCACATGGGGCTGCCACAAAAGCTCTCCGGTGCCGCAGCCAAGTGCCGGCACCCCCGAGGCCCCTATTTCTCCATCCAAGCTCCCCTTCCCACTCTCTGGAAGTTTATGGAGCTCCCATGGGCATCAGATGCAGGGCGCTTGATCCCAAGTGTTCTCAAGTCCCACAAATCGTTTGCAGTTCTAGCAGGGATCTACACACTTCTAGAATTAAAACCAACCTCTTGGATCCCAGAAGTGCTCTGAACAAGGACCCTTTCTTTCATCCAATGCACAAGGGATCTTTCTTTACCAAGCTATAAAATCACTTAATACAAATCAATTATTTTTGCACTGATTTATTAGCTGCTCTCCAGCTGTTCAGATCAGCACTTAAAAAATCTCTCTTGGATATTCCTTTCAAAAGCACTTTCTCTGGATAACTGTTGGCCCAACCTCATTATAGTCCTCCCTGGTGACCCACATCTTTCTAAAGGCGGTTAAGCTGGCAAGGATGGAAGCCCCGATCCAGGCGGAGCACATCCTATCCCTGGGGGCAACAATCCTGACACGACAGCCGTGGGGAATTTGTGCCTTCAGCTCCTGCAGAAGCCTCTCCTTGAAACCTGGGAAGAGAGTGGATCCGCCTGCTAGCAGCACGTGCCCGAGGATGAGTGGCTGGAGYCCCGCGGCGCATTTGGCGACGCTCTGCAGGAGCATCCCTGCGACGCCGGGCGCGGAGAGGCCGGCCTCCGCGGGCACGAACAACGCCTCGGGCGCCCGGAAGAGCTGCTCCCCGGCCCTGACCGCGTTCCCATCAGGAAGGAGGTACTCGCGCACCAGCTCTGCCGGCTCTTCCCGCACCTGCCGCCTGGGATCCGAAGCCACGTAGCACAGCTTCTCCTTCATGTCCCTCACGATCTCCCTCTCCGCCGAGCTGACAAAGGAGTGGCCGACCTCCAGAAGGAGCCTGGCCAGGTAGGCGGTGACGTCTCTGCCCGCAAAATCCAGCCTGCGGATGCCCTGTACCAAGCAGTGCCCCTCGTAGACGGGGACGGTGGTGGTGACGCCGGCGCCGCTGTCCAGCACGAGGCCGGTGGTGCGGGCCCGCGCGTACAGGGCGGTGAGCGCCGGCAGCGCCACGAAGAGGGCGGGCACGCCGAGGCCCTCGAACATGGTCTCGGCCAGGCTCTCCCGCTGCGCCGCGGGGCTCAGCGGCGCCCCCGTCAGCAGCGCCGGCTGCTCGCTGGGCTTCATTCTGAGCTCRTGTTTATACAGGAATCTCCAAACCTTCTCCATGTCCTCCCAGGACACGACTCTGCCGTGCTCCACTGGGTAAGTAAAAGCCAAGACGCCCCTCTTGCACTGGGCTTCCTCTCCGATATAGAAGTCCTTGTGCCCAGCCCCACACATGACGAACTTGGACTTGGGGTATCCCACCACGGTGTGAATGACGGAGCGGGGCGCGCGCTCGCCTGCCACGCCAGCCTTGCACTGCCCCGAGCCGCTGTCCACGACGACGGCGGCCGCGCTCATGGCCCCGCTGCCCGCGCGCCGCCCCGCGCTCTAGATCCCGGCATCACAAACGGGCCCGGCCGCCCCGCCATCACCCCCGGCGCCGGAGCCCTTCCCTGCCTCAAGCTTAGCCCCCGTTTAGCACCTCACTCCGGGGGTGCTGGAAGGGGGGATACATAACTTAGAGCCAGTCCATTTCCCCACAGCACGGCTGCCCCTTCTCATGCCCAAGCTAGAGCACAGCTGGGTTTGGTTAAGCCCTCTCAGAAGCATCCTCTGCTTGCAGTGCCAGGGCCAGACTCGGCTGCAGCCGTCCCCACGGGAGCTGCTCGGGAGCCCCCAGCCCAGTGAGACATTGCTGCTGGGAGGCCCTGGCAGAACTTCAATCCCAGAGGCAAATCCAGCCTCCCGCCAGGCCCGTCACAGCAGCCCCAATATCACACTTCAGTCCCAGCGCTAGTCTGACGCCACCAGCAGGAAGGGCTGGGGCTACAATTGCTGGGCAAGCTCTAATCTCTCCAGATTAATTTCTTAAACTGAGCAAGAAGGTGGCAGTGGGGCTCGGTGTGCCCCCCAGGCGGTGAAAAGCCAGAGGTAGGAACATGCAGTGCCTGCCTGGGGACGATAAACAGCAAGATGTCTCAGAGTGCTCGTTACCAATGTGTTTAATGTTTTATTTCATAAAGGTTTTGTCAGCCAATAAACACACAAACAACTGTGGCACCCCCAGGGTCGCTCGGCCCTTGGCAGGGCTCCTCGTCACGCCGTGGGGCAGCAAACGCTCGGCTCCTAAAAGCATTTCCGGTGCACTACGGCCGCCCCGAAGTCCTTGTAATCATTCACCGTGACCCACATTTGCTTGAAGGACGTCAGGCAGGTGAGGATGGAGGCCCCAATCCACACGCAGTACTTCCTCTCCGGGGGGGCAATGATCCGCACGGCCATGCCAGGAGGCACCTGCAGCTGCATCTCCTTCAGGATCCGCTCATCCAGGCCGGGGAAGAGGGTGGACCCACCCGAGAGCAGGATGTTGCCATAAAGATTCCTGCGCACATCGATGTCGCACTTCATGACACTGTTGAAGATCATCCTGTGCACGCCGGGGGCCTCAACTCCAATGTTTGCAGGCATGAAGAGGGTCTCGGGGGCCCGGAAGAGCTGATTGCCTATCTTAATGACGTTGCCATCGGGCAGCCTGTACTCCTTCATGATCTCCTCTGGCTTTGCTTTCATCTCCTGGCTGGGGTCTAGGGCCACGTAGCACAACTTCTCCTTGATGTCCCTCACGATTTCCCTCTCGGCCGTGCTGACGAAAGAGTGCCCGCTCTCCAGGAGGAGCCTCATGAAGTACTCGGTGATGTCCCGGCCAGCAATATCCAGTCTGGAGACGGCGTGGGGCAAACAGTACCCTTCGTAAATGGGCACCGTGTGGGTGACGCCGTCCCCGCTGTCCATGACGATGCCGGTGGTGCGCGCCGAGGCATAGAGAGCCAGGGTGGCCTGCACGGCCACGTACATGGCCGGCACCATGAAGCCCTCAAACATGATCTCGGTCATTTTCTCCCGGTTCTGCAGAGGATTGAGCGGGGCCTCAGTGAGCAGCACTGGCCTTTCGCTTGCTTTGATTCTCAGCTCGCACTCGTACACGTGTCTCCAGATCCTTTCCATGTCGTCCCAGCAGGTCACTATGCCGTGGTCAATGGGATAATTCAAGGAGAGGACCCCTCTTTTGGACTGAGCTTCCTCCCCAATGTAGTACTCCTTCTGCCCGGCTCCCAGCATCGTAGCCTTGGCTCTCGAGCGCCCAACGATGGCCGTGATAACGGAGCGCGGGGCACTGTCCCCGGCGATGCCGGCCTTGCACAGCCCCGAGCCGTTGTCGAAGATCACGGCGGGGACATCCAGCGTGTTGGGGTCCAACATGGTGGCGGAGCCCCAGGGGCCGCGGGGAGCGCGGACAGGCCGGTCACCATAGCCAGGGACGCGGCTCGGGGGGCGCAGGCCGCCGGCTCCTACCTCACAGAGGCCGCTGAGACAACAATTCGCGCGGGCCGCGAGCGGCGGCACCGCCGCAACACGGGGCTGGCGGCGCCGCGGCCGCACCGCCTGCACGGGCCTCCTGCCGCTCCGCGCTTCAAATACTTCCAAGCACTGCAGACGGACGGCAACCTTCTCCCAAGTGTTAACAGAACTGCCAGCCTGCGTGTCTGATTAACATCTGCATCAGAGGCAGGTATTTGTCACAGACTCCTCTCTGAGCCTTTATAGGAAATGCTCAAAAAATATTTCTAAACAGCTAAGGTCTGTGCCTGGCCTGGCAGCGCCATTCCGATCTTTCTTCTGATCCTTGATAGGTAATCCCAAAACTATTCCCTGCTGAAATCACACATGGGTGGGGAAAAGAATATCTGACGCTGCTTTCTAAACCAGTGGCAGCCTTAAACATTCGCGGTGCCTCCTAGAGSAAAGAGCCCCTTCGCATCCCATCAGATCCGACGATCCAGACCCACTTAGAAAAATTCCTCCTTAAAAAGACTCACTATACAACTTCGCTTCAAATCCACGGCTGCTGCAGTTTAATTGCTTCTCCCTGTGGCTCTAAATCCCCGTCAGCTTCAAAGGGAGGGTGGCTTCTATTAAATTTAATTACTTTTTCTTGCAGCTTGCATGGTAAAGGTGCCAGCTACTAAATGAAGGTGGCTGTGAATCAGAGGTAGATTCCAAGCAAAGATATATATTAAGCAAAATTTTAAATGTAAGCAAATGACCTCCTGGTGCGGCAACTTTTATGCCCCAGATGAACTACTAAAAACAACAAAAAGAAGCGGCAGCCGCCATCTAACAAGGGATCAGCTCTGTGCATGTTGTTCCCATTTGCTGAGATTCCAGCCACGCTCATGCTAAATGCCACTCTATCCACTTTAGCAATTTCTCTAATCCTCTTATTATTTGTGTACATATATTTCAGTGTGTGGCACACTTATTTTCATGCATGCTTCTATATTAATGTCAACAGGTGTCCTAATCATTTAAGAGGTAGTTATAGTCATCACGCTGCAAGCCCCATTTAATCCAGCATGGTCTGCACGCAGCTTACAGCAAAGCATTCCGTTTGGAACGTGATGTTTAGTATTAAAACAAGGGAATATTGACTGTGATTATTAAACGGAGGTTCAGTGTAGACACAGGAATGTTCATCTAGTCCCACACGCCAGTTCTGCCATAAATCACCTTAACAAGGGCAGGTGTGAATTAACTTTGTGCAGAGATCGCCCGGTAGTAGCACACCAAATGCAGGGCAAAGCTCTGAAATACTAATTTTCACCAGAGAAACCTTCCACGAAACTGGAGCAGACATGACAGTCTCTGTTTCCCATGGAAAGGGCACCAACACCAGAGATTTGGTCATACCCCAAATTCACTCCACTCTTTCTCAATTTTCCACAGGCAACYGCATTTCTTTGGCTGATTCAGTTCTTAGGAAATCTCAGGCTGCTCCAAACAGCCAGATCTGCCATATCCACCACAACCTTGAYAAGCCACTTCAGGAACTGGCATTAATTTCCCCATACACGTCACGGGGAAGGGTGGCTGCTCACCAGCATTTTCTCCACATCCTAAAAGCCTGGACCAGTGGTTTGCAGAGCCTGGATGTATTTAAAATGCATCAAAGGCTGCAAGGACGCTACAAACCTTTACCAAGCCATCGTGTCAGCACGCAAGGACAACGCTTTACCCGTGCCACAAATAATTCCGGCAGAGATACAACACAAATCCATTATTTATATTGACATAGCGCATGGAAATGCRCCGGGCTGACCTGGGGCTGCAGAAATAAGAGCAAAGGGGAGGCCGTGCTCCAGMGAACTGCCTGGGAAGCGAGACGCAGCAGGCGGAAGGGGCAGCGGCCGGGCCAGGGCGGGCGGCGCACGGGGGCTCGCGCCAGGGCTGGCGAGGAGCAGTAATCACCATCGCAGCTGCTTAGCTCTAACAACGGGAYCTAGGCAAGATCCCTCGCTTCACACGGGAGCTGCCTTTGATTGCTCCCGCACTCGCTCCCATCTAAAACTCCCATTTCGCAACGTCTTCCTGACACTGCAAACATCCACAGCGCTCTTTGAAGTCAAACCTTAATGTGTTTATTGACACCAGTTATGATATTCCAAAACACATGGGCTACAAATTGTTACCATGCACTCCTGGTGTTTACAGTAATCCCCATATGAAAACAAACTCTGCCTTTCCCGACCGTTTTACATCTTCTTGCTGACTCACTTGCCTCTGTTTATTTAAACTCCTGTTGAGTTTTTTTATATTCAACATGTTTTACACAGAAACCAACAACGTGCAGATCTCATACCCCATCGAAACCTTCTGCATTCGCTTTTAGGGGCACCGCGTGGCCAAAATGCTCTTCCTTGGTCTTCTGCCTGACCTCTGCCGCGGAGTCTCCCGGTGCGGCAGCGGTCACCCCAGCACACACGAGGCTGGGCAGGAAACCAGAGCGCTTCAAACCTCTCATCTCTGGTCCCCGACGCAGGGAAGGAGCAAAATCAATGCCTGCTAAATAGAAAAAGGGATCTAATTTGATGGGGAAAATATGTTTATTTTCTACTTTCTAGTAGCTACTGGASAAAAATGAATACTGTACTCATTACAAAGTATATAAACGATTCCCATTCATTGTCTTTTAAAGGAAACTTSAATTACTGCCCTGCTGAATTGGAACAGCTTTGGGGGATTCTTTTGTGGTCTCCTACTCTTGAGTTTCCTYAAAGTCTAACTAGCATCTCTTCGGGGTGGTGTGTGTGAATTTAATAGTATCATCTAACATGTAATAAACCCTTCAAGTGATGAAAAACCAGGAAGGCGCAGACCCCATCGGGAGTCTAATTTAATTAAACAATTTGGAATTCAGCATCCAAGAACAACTCAGACTTTGTGTATCATTTTCCATTTTGGAGAAAAGATCTACACCTAGGAAATGATATAAATTATGTATAGATAAAAGTCTTGCTTGAAAATTCACTTATTCAAAATAATGGACCTGATTATTCAAAAACGATCAGAAGACCAGGAAAAAAGATTGTTATTTCCTACTGTATGAGTGCTCCAAGTCAGGTGAAATAATTCTGCTATGCTGACCTCCGATCACACAGCCACAGATTAGCCTTTCCTGGGGAAACGGGATAAGGGAGGCTGGCGGCTCCGCTCTCCGATCCTGCTCCATGTCTCAGGGGCTGCCAGGGAGCGCTAACGGAGAAGGGCCTGCACACGCAGCAGCACTTGACAGCAACATAAAGCAAAGCGCCCGTTTGTGGAACGCCGCAAGCATCCCCAACCCTCGGACAAGTGAGAGCTCCTGGGCACAGAGACAGCCCCGGCCGCGGGCACCTCGAGCTGCCCCTGCGCCGTCCCTGCCACGCGAGAGGCCCCACGGCCGCACTGGGAGCAGAGACTGCAGAGGCAACCAGAGGCACTGGGAGTTTGGAGGCTGAATGGTGGGGAAGGGGAAAAGCAGGGCTTGCTCTCGGAAAACTGTTAATTTAGCACCGAATACATAACAAGCTGTTCTGGAAACTCGCTGCTGCTTTAATCCGAGTGGCTGCTGGGCTGGGGCTTACGCACAAATTGTTAGAAGCTGCGTCTGAGGTATGAAAGCRACAAGTGGAAAGCGTTCCCATGAAGAATGCAGCACGCTGGAGCCGGGCCAGCGCTGGGTCAAAATGCAGTCACATGTCCTGTGAGCTGGTCCGGAACATCCTTCAAATCCAGCTAAGCAAACAGCTCCGAGAGCTGTGCGCCAAGTGCCAACTCCAGCTGGCATCCTGATGCATTTTATTCTACAGTTATTGCAGTTTTGAAGGTTATAAAAAGTTTACTAATGAGAAACATTTCAGGAAACTGCGCCAGTAACTTAGGCTGAGAGAAGAGCTGCAGTGACATGAACACACATAGCTGGGCTGGAAAGTCTGAAGTATCAGCTCCGCACCCGAGAGCAGCCTCTGCTTCCACCTCCCAACACTTCTGAACTTCTTAAGACTTCTCCTAACACATTTAAGTTGTGCTTTCTAAACATCTAAAACCACTGATGAAATTAAAGACAGAACTTCCACGATGTTCTGTTTCTCAGTAATTTGGTTCATTTTGGTTTGCAGGGAATCTTCTTTCATCATCATGAAATTGATAGAGCTAAAGGGGTGCAAGTGCAGTCAGGGCTTCTGGACAAACTGGGCAACAGGAAAACCCTCTTTACTGGCAGGAAAAGAAAAGCCTCATTCACGTGGGATTGCTAGCAGAACGTTCAGCTTTTTAGAAGTGAAAGAAGAAATACTCAAACTGCAAGCAAAACCTCTGCTCCCATCTTCCCTCTAAGACAATATTTGGGAGTAGCAGAAGTGCAGAGCAGTGTTTGTCTATCTACCCGTGCTATTCATCACTCCATTTACCATATTTTCCTTTGCCTTCCAGAACTCTTGGCTTCCCTCATGTCTGTGTGTTTTGTAACCAGTCTTAATGCAATAAATCAAAGCTGTCAGCATTGGAAGAAAATTAATGTGAGAAGTTGTTCCAAAGGCCACCAGCCCTTTCTCTGCTCTGTGYGCTGCACTAACCCAGGATTCCTCAACAGCTTCCAATGTGCTTTGCTACTTTCCCAAGGTTTTGAGGTTACAGGTGCAGTTCTGAAGGGTGGCTTTGAATCTTATCCTTAATGCYAATGAATTGCTGGACTTTCTTTGAATTTCAGAAGGAAGCTGAAGTGCTCTGCACAGCCCAGATCTGAGCCTTGGCTATTGCAGGCCAAGCCAAAAGTGAAATCCAGATCCAGAGTTAGAACACACCGGGCTTGGATCCGGGATTCTGGTTAGGACTTCTTATGAAGAAAAGGGCCRAAATATTCAAAATCAATCTTCTGCCTAGGT